ACACCCCACACTTTCGTTTATTTGTCTGGAAAAGTTTTGATACTATATAGCCTGCGACATACGACAAAGGTTCACGCTCAGCTTGGTCAAGTTTCAACAGAACTTAGCTTGAATAAAGCATCAAAACAAAGCTTGAGTGCATGATGCAGTCTTGGCGCTGTTGCTCATTTCAACCCCACACAATTTTTCTCTTATAATTTGCGATTTGATCGATTCCACAATTGACGCAACAGTATCATAGCAAAAATATGCAATTCTGGTCATGTTTGCTGGGAAGAAAATTCGCAGTGCTTCGAATTTGTGTGTCTGGTTAAAGCCGCCTTTAAATTAATAGACTTTAGTACACAATTTGCCACACTTTGGACAAGGGGACAATTTTTCACCATGTATTTCGCTCAAAGCGTCATTAAATTCGTCCTATATATCCTCTCATTCAGCCTGCGTAACAGCCACGGTAACTTCAAGATTATAGTCTTCATTTTTAAAATCTTCTAGGTAAATTTCAGACTCGCTTTGGCTTGATCTGTTCATACCGTGTGCCATACTCGATACGAGTGTCACACAACCTCGGTGCTTTACGTTCGATTTTTTGTTCTTGGGTCATTATAATTTGATATTTTTCCTGTGGGATGTCCATAAACGCAGCGTATCCATAAAAATATGCTTTCAACTTGCGAAAAAGGTATAAAAATCGCTTAAATTTTGCAAAACACTCTAAATCTCTTAATGTTTTCTTAGTATCACTCCTTGTTGATGCAGGGATCGCACCACTGACATTTATTTTGGGGGTTCCCAACATAATTTCAGAGACCCTTTGAAGTTTGCCAGCTAGCCTAACCAGTCTCCTTCGATTAACCGTGTCCAGAGGTTCTTCCCGCTCGCTGCCGCCCAGCTTGAATCCTTGTGTATCCCTCATTATCCCCCCTACGAGCGTGGAAGAACCTCTGGCACCCAGGGTACCATTTGCTTTCTTATCTTCCAATCCCATCAGAAAGTCTTGAAAATAGTCCATCATGTGTCTTTCAACTTGTCTACTTGATCTGTCGTCGAAGAATTTCGGATTTAGCAATGACAATACATAATCGGCATCTACGGCATTCTGCTGACCACGTACAAATAGGGAATAGGTATAAATAATAAATATATTTTTTGGCCCTTTTTGAAAATTACAAATATCAACAATTAATTCTTAAATAATAAGTAGAATAATAAATATGAATAGTTGACACACTGTTTAATAAATATTGGGCCTGCTAACTAAATTAACCGTGAGGTTTTCTGGTTAGTTACCAGCCTATTGATTTTAAAATTTAATTAGAGATGATAGATAGTTTGTTTAACAGAGCCAAATAAAATGAGATTAAAGCACAATTAATTAATATGGTTTTAATTTGTCTCAAATTGTTTTTTTAATAAATATCTTTTTACCAATTTTGAAAAACAAAAACATTCAGGTCTTTAAGTTGTTTAGGAAGGTCTTTCCAGAGGTCAATAAATGCAAACGAAGTAATTTGTTTACCACAGTTTGTTCTGACACGTTTTTTGTGCAAGTTTTGCTTAGATGAATATCTGGTGTTATAAGTATGTACGTCACTAGTATACTGAAATAAACTGTCAAATATGCGTGGCAGTTGGCCTTTGTGCCATAGATGAGTGAATTTTAAGGCACTGAGTCGATAAAGATTATCAACACTGAGAATTTCCAACATATTTAAATATGGAAGAGCACTCTTGGTGAGAGGTCCGGTCCAATGTGTTATAGCAAAGAACATAATCCTCATAACTTGATTTTGCTTTGTTTGCAACTTTTTTAGGTTGGACTGATAGGTGCTTCCCCAAGCAGTAATGGCATAAGATATATGCGGGTATATGATATTATAATAGAGTTGTTTGAGCTGAGTAATTGATAAGTAATGTCTTAACTTTGAGAAAATACCAATACCATGAGATACACGAGAACAAATATATGGAATATGGTATTTCCAAGATATGGTATCATGAATCATAACCCCTAAATATTTTATATGATCTTTTCTTTCTAAAGAAACATGTGAACCATCTGCATTTTGTATCTTTATGTCAATTTGCATGTCCTTTTTCCTAGCTGATTTAACAATCATAAAATTTGTCTTAGAGAAATTAATTGACAATTTGTTTGAATTACACCATTCTTTAACCTTGGAAATCTCAGTGTTCATTAAAGTTTCTAGTTCCTGAATATTTCTAGACGAGGCAAATATGTTAGTGTCATCTGCAAACAATCTAAACTTTAATTTGTTAGAGCAGTTTGGCAAGTCATTAATATATATTAAGAACAACAATGGTCCAAGTGTGCTTCCCTGAGGAATCCCACATGTCATTGTTTGTTTAGATGACTGAAAACCCCCTAGGGCCACATATTGTTGTCTATCAGTTAAATAACTTGTAAACCACTGAAGTGGTAGTCCTCTGATACCGTAAGCTGCTAATTTCTTTAATAATATTTTATGGTTTATAGTGTCGAAAGCTTTAGAGAAATCAAGGAATACACCGCATGTGTATAAATTATCATCGATCGCTTGTTTAAGACTGTCTACAATTTCAGTTATAGCATGGGAGGTGGAATGATTTTTCCGAAAACCAAACTGAAACTCGAACAAAATGTTGTAATTTTCAATATAACTAATGAGTTGTTTATATACTAGTTTTTCAAATATTTGTGAAAATGCTGACTTTATCAATGGGAGTTACTCTCGAGATTTGCAAAATATTGGGAACAACACCTTGGATAATATTATTATTGAAAATTTCTGTAAGCGCATTGTATATATGGTCGCGAGCCAGCTTAATGCATCTTTGCGGGGTAACGAGACAAGCTTTGTTTGTTTTTAATTCCGTAATCAAATCATATACTTCATTTGGATAGATAGGTCGAAACATAAAGCTATTTGGAAATGATTTGACAATATATTGAGTCGGATTTACATTTCCCTGTGGGAGTTTCTCAGCAAGCTTACGACTGACGTTTAAAAAATAACTGTTGAGTTCGTCACATATACTTTCCTTATCTGTATAGCTTTTTGTTCAATAATAAGCTTTTATATCAGGAGGAGAGTGAGATACCTTCCTATTGACTATCACGTTGTTTTCAAGTTTCCTTTGTTTCTTTCAAACTGTGCTCTATAGTAATTGGTTTTGGCCGCTTCTTTAATCTTATTTAACTTGTTATATAATTTATAATATCTTATTTTGTCGGGGTTTTTACTTAGAAAATGTGATTTAAAAAGCTTATGTCTTTTCTTTATAGATATTAAAATGGCATTTGATATCCACGGGTTTTTCATTAACCTTCTTTTATTATATGGTATTTTTCGTATTGGCGCATGCTTGTCAGTAATATTTTGTAGTATACTCGCTAATTTATTCATGCTTCTATTCACATCATCACAGGCCAAACAATTGATATTTTCCTCACTTACGTCCTCAAGAAACAAATCCTTAAAGTTAGTAAAGTCCTTAAAATATCGTTTTTCAACAGTTGTCGAGTCCATCTTTGCTTGACGTATCTGTGGTATATCCATGCTCTATGATTTTATCTTGAAACTTCAGAACATCACTCTTCATTTGATCAAGCATCTCCTTTCCTTTTTACTGATCAATTAATCTTGAGTTGGTGAAATCAATATCCTCATCTGTGACGAATGTTTTGTACACTTTGCCATCGAGAAAGCATGGAGGTGGTCCACCTTGCTTGCAAGCTCAAGCTTGCAGCAACCGATTTGCCACAAGCCCTAAAGTTGCCACTTTGAATATCATTACTTGAGTGGCTGGGGCTTCCGTCAGGAAAAAACTTATTGGTAATATCTGAGATAGTCTCTGTTAGGAACTCCTTTGCCAAAGCTCCTGTGTCAATACCATCTTCGCCGATGAACTTTACATGAAGGATGTGTTCTGGTGATACTTTGTTGGTTGCCCTCTGCCAAAGATTTAGCTTTCTTTCCAACTGTGCTTTTCTTCGGACAACTATGTATAATGAATCTCTGCCATTTGAAATAACTTTTTCTTCCAGGGCCAAAATGACCTGACAATCTTTTTTTTTTATAAACAGTATTTTATTAATCAAATTAAATGCAATTGCTCCAAAAGCGTAGGAACTTATCTAGGGAGCTTTTGCTAAAACTTTACAATATTAAATTATATAAAAAAATTTTTTTGAAAGAAGAAACACACAGACAAACAAGACAACTAGTTAAATAAATACAGTTGGCACCAAAATGATTAACTGCAGCCACATGCAAAACGACCCGACTCAACGATAAATCTCTGAACACTAGTGAACTTTTATTAACAATAAAGGAAAAAATCAGAATTATTTCTGTTGAGCAGCCATATAAGACGAGTTTTTCTGGATGCATTCAACCAACTGGTGCCAAGCAAGAGAGCAGCAGAAGTGAGCAATTTAACCCGACAATCTTTAGTAAATAGAGTCTTCTCTTTATCAAGTTTAAAATAAAATTGTGCAAATCTGTTTATTCTTTTGAAGAAGCTTAAGGAGGCTGAGGGATTTTAATCCCTCTGAAAATTCCTGTATTTCGTTCTTCCTTGAGACAAGCAATTCATGCGACACAAGATGCTCTAAAAGGAAATCTTTACTACTCATACTGATTACCTTCTCTTTCATCCCTCGTGTCGAATTTATAATCTGATGGATATCATAATCGTTTTTCCATGTTCAAGACAGTTTATGAATTCATGCCATAATGTGGTTGAGGAATCCAGTGGAATGTGCTCCATTGTAATTTTGGATATGGTTTCATCCTTTTCTTCTCGTACTATATAGGAGTAAATATGTGGTGCCAGAAATGCAAAGCCAATTGAACTTCTTTGGAATAATGCATGGCTTACAATTACACCAGCAAGCTGAAACATACCTTTCATTACATCTTTGATTGGTACCATATTTGGCTCAGCACCTTCAAACAATCGAGATTTTACCTCGTTAAGGGCCAATGAGAAAAACTCTATCTTCATTGCCCCACCGTCAAAGACCTTCATTTTTGAAAGAGACACAAAGTTCTTTTCAGAGGATATCTGGTTTTGTAAGTGATCTCTTATAGAACTTAACAACGTCCATCCACAATGTCTCTCGGTCTACAAGAAAACATTCATCACCAGATAATTCGTTTTTCTCTACCAACGACTCAATTAAATCCTCCAAGGATAGATTTTCCTCTTTATCAGTTGTCTGCTTGTCAAGAACTAGGTATGCCACATCATCAATTGTGATGGCAACTGATGCAATATCTTGTAGATCTTCTTTTTCAGCATTAGGAAATGCAAGCTCGAATTATGACAACCAACTTTGCTTAGACGTGCCAAGTATATCAGAGTCTGCGACTATCTTAACTTTGGACATGCTCAGGGTATTCAAATTTGCAATATCTTCTATCATAACTTCAGAATCATCTTGCTTTAAAATATCTTCAATTTCGTCAGTGTCGCTATGTCTATAGCACCACAGTCTTTAGAATGCTGGCGCAAAGGAAATATTGGAGCTTGCTTATTACATGTTGTGCATTCAGTCAATGGACTATCTGGACTGAGTGACACAGGAGCTTTTTCAGCAGACAATGATTCTTTCATTGGACGTATATAAATTGTCACACCCACCATCTCTTAAGATATGGTACACTGTATCCATCTGATGGGATTGGAATTAAACATGGAGGTCTGGCTAAAAACCTTCGTATAAAGCCAAAATAAACAAATCTGTGTCGAGACTGTGCGAGATTTCAATGTGAATGGCTCGTATTACCAGGCACGTGAAGATTACTCCATATCTCTTTACTAAGCTTCTGCCACAACGAACATGGAATGGTCCAAAATAATCAACTCCAACGTAGGTAAATGGAGGATGGTCAGGGGTTAAACAATCTTTAGGCAAGTCTGCCATTTTCTGTTCCAAAACTGGCGCTTTCCACTTTCTGCAACGAACACAATGAGAAAGTAAACTTCTTACAGCTGAATTAGCTTGAGTGCCAGCATATATTCTCTAACAAGATGACCAGAGATAACGTGATAGTACTGAATGATAATATTGGTTATGTGAATTCCTTTCAGTAGGATGACTGGGTGCTTCGAACATTCAGGAATTGGAGCATGTCGCAGTCTTCCACCTACGAGTAGGAGGTCATCTTGGAAAATCGGATCAAGTTTAGATAGTGGACTGGACTTCTTTATGCATGCTTGTTTTAGAAAGTCTATGCGATCTTTATAGGGCTTGCTCTTCAACGCCTCGCAATGCTCGATGATTGAATTTTCCAGGACCGTTCTTGTTGCAGGATTCACAAAGTTTCCAAGATTCTTCCGCATTGATACCAAAGCTCGATCCTCCAGGTTTTGGCTTAGCAAACTTTAAACGATTACTTGGCGGTTTGACAGTGGAAATATTTCCAAACCCAGGGTGGTTAGCAATCCTTGCTTCTTTTTTCACAAAATTTGCGAGGTCTGGAAACGTCATCATTCTTCGCTTGACTTCAGTAATCTCGTCTACATTTCTGCGTCATCTGCATCTCATACTAAACGGTAGTTTCTGCACGATCTGATGAATATTTTCAGGATTATCAAATTTAGTCATAAAATCGTTTCCATCCATAACATTCTTACAGCATACAAGAAGGATTGAGAATTTGTGCAAGTTCACATTATCTTCAGGTTTTAATTCAGGCCATTTCAACACTTTGTCCATATATTGTACTCATTACCATAATTTCTCTTCAACAAGGCTGTAGCTTCCTGATAACCACACACCGGGCCCATGTGATGACATAATTTCACCAACTCTCTCGCTTGGCCAATAGTAAACTGTAAAAAACTAATAAAAACTAATAAACTGGCCAAATAATACAATCATTCAGACGAATTAGCCACTTTGGCTTCGATAATATCCTCAAATGCACGAATAAAGTTATTATACTCCATAGGATTCCCTTCGAATACTGGAACTCGTTGCTGTGGTAAAGTGCTTTTTTCGCTACTGTAACGAGAATCCCTTCATGATTTAATTCTCTTGTAGGTTTAAGTCATTCTGTTGTTCTTGAAGTCGCAACATTGTCTCTAGTGTCGTGTTATTTTGACTTAGCATTTCTCGTTCTGGTTGATCATGCCTTTTGAAACTATCTTGTTGCTTGACTGGCTTCTCAACGGTTGCACATTTGTTTGCTTTACTAATAAGTGGCAGTTGGGGTAATTTTCTACCAGTTGAGTGAGGTCTTGGTGTTTGATGTCTTGGTGGACTTTTCACAACTGCAGGACTTTGACGAACATCAAATAGGTTTGTAGACATAGTGGTTGATTGAAGTATTTGTAAAGCCGCTAATGCTTTTTCTTTAGCTGCACTTTTAGCTTTTTCCTGCTGTATTCGTAGTTTCTCTTGCTCTAAACGTTGCTGAATCTCCAACGACTTTGCTTGCACCACAAGTTCAGCCATTCTTACAGCTTCATTAGTTAGCTCTTAACTCAGATGTCACGGATGAGCGAGTAGAATACTTTGCCTTTGATGAAACGTTTGAAGCAACTTGGCTTACGGAGTCATTTGGTGATCCACTGATTTATTTTATCTGCAAGTCTTGGTATGATGTTTCTTGGGCTTTGTATTGCTTATCAGCTTGTTCTATACGTAACTCGGTGGCTTTTTCCAGGAGTCTAAAGAGACAACATTCGGCGCTCTGAATAGGATTTCTTCTTCCTCGTGTCATGTTAATAGTTTATTCGAGACAGCTATTAGTTTCAACTGCGTCTGACACAGCGGCTATTGTCTTCAATTTCTGCCTGATGTTGGCATATTAGTTCGAGCGAGCTGACTACTATATCCTTGCAGGTCTTGGAAAACAGCTCGGCAATAAATTGATAAATAAGGCTTCAGCTTTTTGGAACTAAATATTTGAAAATTTCCGAAATCTACATATTTTCGTTCTACGGCGACTATTATGTCGAGATATTTAGACACGCTTTCTACTATGACTATGTAGTTTTAGTTTTATACCGAGTAAAATGTTGCTGCAAAAGCGTTTTCAACGTCTTTTCGTACTTATTTCGTCATTTTTAGGCTTAATTAATTGAAAATAAATTTCAGAAATAAAGCACTTTTACATGTAACAGTATATTGACAAAATTACAAATTCTATTTTTGGTGTTTACATACGCCGGTCATATATTTCCGGTTTGAATCACATGATGCGTTTTATCGTCTCTTAGCCAATCAGCATAACATCCAGATTCTGGATGTTGAACATGGCTTTTGAGGCAAATTGTGTCAGGCCCTCTTTCAATATCGAGGGCCTGATACTCAGGTTACTTTAAATGCTCTTCTAGCATTAATTGTTCATTGACATTGTCTTGTAATCTCTGCATATGATTTTTCACATTTTGCCGTATTGTAACATCACTTCGGTCGATACGCTTAAACTTGTAGACTCATGAACATCCTTCATCTGTTTGAAACATCTGCCTGTCTTCTGCAGCTACAGAAAGTATTTCTTCATTGCTTTGCTCCAAATACGCCATATAACTGATTATAATTGCCAAATCTTTGAACTATTGTTACTGCCAAATAAACACTTGAATAACGATTCATAAAACTTTACTTTATTCAATTCTTATAAAGAACAAACATATATATATATATATATATTAACTGCCAATAAGGCTCTCAGGCCAACGTTCAAAGATTTGTTGATGACTCTACCTATAACGGCTTGACACTATTAAATGTTTACGTTAAATCTCTGTCTTTTATATAAGCCCTGACGGGCAATTAACTTAACATTAGCATAATAAATACAATAATTAGCAATTGTATGCTACAGGCAGAAGCATTTATGAGCATTAAAGATATTTAAGTAATTATTCCTAGTCTTGTAATTTTACAGTAAACATTTCGTAAAAACATAAATATTTCGTTCTATAAATGTTGTGTGAACGTTTCGCTTCAATATATTTATGTTTCATAATGGTTGTGTGAATTTTGCGAATTCATATAAACAATATTTTTTATTAAAATTCAAAAATTGGCAATTACGCCAAAAGCCACTAAAGGCTTATCTGGGGCGCTCTTGACATTACATATTTACAAAAAAAACCCAAAAAAACAGCTGATAGAGCAAGCACAAATTTTGGGCAAACACACAATTAACATATACATGCTGGGCAACGTGGTCAAGGGCTGCTACGGGTGAAACGACCTGAATCAATAATGAATTTTTGGACACTTAAGAATAAATTAATATTCGTATCAATAGAAACATTCCCGACACCACAAAGTAACCACTTAAGACGTGTACCCTTACCAGCACCTGACCACGCTGCACCGAGTAAAGAAGCAGCAGAGGTGAGCAAAGTATTCCGAATAGCAGCATATCGGTCACAGTCGAAAAAGAAATGAGCTGTAGTTTCTTTTGGAAAACCACATGCACAAAAAGAGGAAGAAACACAATTTTTTAAATATAAATCGTAATTTAATGTACTATTAGATAATCTCAAACGAGTATGCAAAATAGCTGGTAAACGATCACCTATATAATATAGCGGATTGGGAGCTACGAACTTGTGTAGCCGAGTCACACTGTTTTTAAAAATGGCAATTGAACGACTAGAACGAATAGTCGCTGAAAGACTATTCCAAAGATTCACAGAGGAAATATAAAATGACTTTTTGTAACGTTCGGTTCTAGCGAAAGGGACAATCAGATTATCATTGGCACGTAAACTACGATTTGATCTAGAACTAACATTATCAGGACGCAATTCTGACAGATACGGAGGGGTCAGATTATTTACAATTTTGTACATCATAAATAACTTATGAGCATTACGTCTGGCTTTTAAAGTAGACCAACCTGTTTCATTAAGAAGGCTTTCCCTATGAGTACCTTTCAATGCCCCCGTTACGAGCCTGGCTGCCTCAAATTGCAAGCTTTCAAGAAGGTCACGATCAGCATCACAACACCCATCCCACACAACATCCGCATATTCCAAGCAAGAACGGACAACGGATTTATATAGAATTTCAAGGGGTTTTTTCCTAGCTTAAATTTCATTGGTTTAAGTAAGTTAAGTTTTTTTGAAGCCTTTTGATGGATTTTAAGAATATGAGGCTGCCACGATAATTTATTAGTAAAGGGTAACGCCCAGGTGATCATGCTGATCAACTATATCAATTGGTTCGTGGGCCAAAGTAAGTGTTAGGATGCAAGGGCTTGTTTAACTTGGAAGAAAATATCATGTTTTTTGTCTTATTAGCGTTCATGGTCACAAGCCATCGATCAGCCCACATTGATATAGAATCAAGATCGTTATTTAGCCTGTTAGCTGTGTCAATCGGCGATATGACTTCATCTAATAGTAAGGAATCATCAGCGAAAAGAAAACAAGTGGAAGAAACATTATCAGCTATGTCGTTAATATAAATCAGAATTAACAATGGTCCAAGAACAGATCCTTGGCTTCAATATGTGCCCAGTCAGAGCTCATTCCCTCAATGGTTACTCGTTGATATCTTTCAGTCAAATAACTTTCAAACCATTGAAGTAAGGGGCCGTTTATGCCAATACTTTTAAGTTTGGCTAATAAACCTTTGTGCCAAACCTTATCAAATGCCTTAGAAATATCAAGAAATACTGCACGTATTTCATTACCTTTCTCTAATGCTTGATAAATTTTATTTACAACAAAAATTAATTGCATAACTGTGGAATCACCTGGTCGAAAACCTGACTGAAAACGATAGAAAAAACCCGTATTATTAAGAAAATTATACACGTCCAAAAAGACAACTTTTTCACATAATTTGGATAGACTAACTAACAAGGAAACTGGACGATAATTCGTTTTCATTTGCCGATTCTCTTTTTTAAAAATGGGTATAACATTTGCAAATTTCCAACAACTGGGATATTGACCTAACGAAAGTGATAAATTTAAAAGCAAAGTAAGAGATTTAAAAATACCACCAGCACAAGACTTGAGTGCTTTGTTGCTAATATTGTCAAAACCGCATGCTTTAGAAATGTCTAAGTTATATAAAATATTTAACACTTGATATTCATTTACAACAATAATTGATAAATTATGAGGTGAACTAGGTAATGAGGGAATATCCGCAGTATCAGCATTAGGCATAATTGTTTGGCCAACGAAATAATCATTAAAAACCTGAGCCTTGTGTTGCGAAACTGAAATGACGATGTCGTTGTCAATTAAATCAGGTAACGAAGAACAGCACTTGTTACCGTACAAAGATTTTGAAATGCCCCACCACTTTTTGGTTGATGTCGATGGATCCGCTAGTAAAGTATTTATTTTACATTGGTATTCCATTTTGGCTTTCCTAATTAATTTAACAACGAGATTTCGTTGAATGCGGTAACGTTCCCAAGACAATACACTTTTAATGTTTGAAAAACGTTTAAGAAGACGATCACGTCTTCGAATAGCTTGGCGAATTGAGCCATTCATCCAGGGCTTGTCTTTGGGCCGAACAGTAATTTCCCTAGAGGGAATATAGGCATCAAGAATTGATTTAAATAAATTAAACCATTTATTGTAAACAACATCGATAGAATCTGACGGATTAGAAAAAACATCTCCCCAATTAGCATTTAATAGTGCCGCATTGAGGGCATTAACATTCACATTTTTATAATTACGAACAGTTCTTTTAAATGATCGTTGTTTTCTTGAAGAGATATTCAAGTTAGCATAAACGATATTGTGATCACAATTGGAAGGAGGACTCAAAGTTCCAGTAAAAGTAAAATAGCCAGGAGAATCAGTAATGATTAAATCAAGAATAGTTTCCCCGGTCAATGTAACACGAGTAGGTTCTTCAATTAATTGAAATAAGTTATTACCTTCCAAAAAATTATATAGCTTGACACCGACATCAGTATTAAGTGACGAGGCACCGGCGAAATCAAAATGGGCATTAAAGTCACCTAAAATTATGATAGTGGAAAAATTATTTGACATATTAATAGAGTCGAGACTGGCCTGTAAATAATTTAGAAATAAATCTAATTGATCAGAGGTTTGGCTAGGAGGCCTATAACACACTCCGCAAAGTATTTTCACTCGATTGACAGCTATTTCAGCCCATAACAACTCGATAAATGGAGATTCTAAATCAAGTCGTCTGACGAACGGCAAGTGATCCGCGGCGTACAGAGAAACACCTCCACCGCGAGATGAATTTCGATCTTTTCTTAGTGGAGCACTAAACCCTGACATTAAGATTGACTCGTTTGAGATAGTGGAGTTTAGCCAAGTTTCAGAGAAAGCAAGCAAGTCAAATTTATGTAGTTCAGCAATTGCAGAGATTTCGCTAAATTTGTCAACAATGTTTAAGCTTCTTGCGTTCAAATGTGCTATAGACAAGCAAGTATTGCGTGGGCCGGGGTTAGGATGCACCGAACCAGATAATAAAAGTAACATGGTAAGCCCAAATAGAAGTATAAATAGTATAGCAAGACTAATAATTGCAAGAAACAAACGTATGCCATAAGCATTAACAGTAAGATAAGAAATACAACAATTATACAGACCGATAGCCGCTCGATATACTTCTAAACTAACCCCCATCGAATTCTAATTTGTAAAAAGATATAGAAATGCTCACCTCATGCTTCTCACCTGGAATACTTATAGACATAACAAACATAGCGAAATAGAGAAAGAAAAAAAATTATATAGTATAATGTTAGTTTAAGAAACAAAATATGTTAGATATCGTCACCGTGGTAAATAGCGTGTTACCGATAAAGAATCAATCATTTCTCTGGTTGAAGGCCCAAAATGTCATCGAGGCAACGAACCACATGAATGGACTCGTCTTCTAGTTTGACAAAAATTTTACCGTCGCTCGCCCACGTGTGTTGAACATGCCCAACCATGCGAGCTTTTCAAAGAAGATCCAGGTTGAAAGAAGTTAGATCTTCATTGACATAAAACCCTTTCTTGCCCTTTAGCTTGCTACGATTCTTAACGACCCTTTCCTTGGCACGATAACTTGTGAATTTAACAATCATTTGGCGAGGAGAAAGACCTCGTCTTCCAACTCTATGGACGCGATCAATATCAGAGTCATTAACAGTGACACCGAGTTCGGTTTCGAAAAAATTTGAAACCGCTGCAAAACAATCTTCTGCATGAACCTCTTCAATGCCAGATATTCTAACATTATACTTCCTAGAGTATTGTTCATTTGCGTTTGCGTGTAGTGAAAGGGTTGTATTCTGTTTCTTTATGTTTTATAGTTCAACACGAAGGCGAGAATTTTCAGCCTTAATGGATGCAAGATCATCTTCGAGCGGTTTTACAATAGAATTAAGTTCGCTTTTAATCAGTTGTTTCACCTGATTTGATATAGCAGTTTTCATCTCTTCGCTGTTCATCACCTTGATAATTTCATCTTTAATCAATGTATTATTAAGTTAATTTTATTTCCTTTGAATTTAAAATTCATTAAATTACATTTTTACATTAAATTACAATTTAAAATTACATTTTTACCAACAGTCAAGTAAAGAAACCAAGCAATTCGTTACTTGCATTGTTCTCTCATGTTGTTATTCAATGCTCCCTTCACACTCGAGCATGGTTTGATAACCAACGTGTATGGGCTTTTCAGTGGCCACTGGTCATCATTTCTACATATGCAATGTTTTTAAAATATGCATTAGATTTGTCCTTTTTTGTAAACGATGTTATACTTTGCACGATTTATTTGTTACTATGCGTCTTGTTCATAAGATTTAAAAAAAACACCTGTATTGTATTGTCTAGGACTAGAGCCCAATATTAGCAAATTTGATACTAGCCAACATTTGATACTAGCCAAACAGAAATGCATGTCAGTGATTTATCTTTAAAATTTTGGATTTAGTACATAATTCTCGTATTCGGTAATTATAGTCGGGCTTTAGCGTTTTTCTTGGTCTCTATTAATCATAATGTTTTCCTAATATACTATAATCTATATCACAAATTTACAGCGCACAGACTGTCATATGAATAGACATAAATTTTTTAGTTTTCTGCTTCTACTAACATTTTTAAAGTTTTTATTGTGAATCATGTTTATTTCTAGTTCATTAGTCTTTATGCTACTATCAAGTAAAACAATGATCTCAAATATATTTGTATATTTATTTGATAGCGTCATAGTGATACATGTATTTACACACAAGCAATCCTGGATATGATGGAGACGATACAAGCTGTCCATTAAAAAATAACGGTATTCTATTACACAAAGGAAAAAATCTCACTTGTATTATTAAGAATATATATAAGTAGAAAATTAAAGCTCTTGTCAAAACAATAGCCGTTTATAAAATTTAAAAATGTGGTATAAACACTACTAAAACAGTGCTCATTTACGTACTATTTAAAACATGAGAAGGAGTGTTTTATCATATTTAAAACGCGAGGCGCAGCTGTCAGAGCGTTTTAGATAGGACAAAACGCGAGTTTGAGTGTTTTGAATAGCTTAAAATCTGACTACAAAAGAATACTAATTAGGATGAACAATTAGGATGAATTATATAAAGAGTACTAATGAAGATGAGTTTTATCAGATATAAAGTCACACTCCATGTGACATGCCACATGGTTTATGAATTTTTAATGTGTATTTTAAAGACATATAATATATTGTTGTTTGACTTATCTTTGATGTATGACTTTAATAACTTAGATTTTCAACAGACGGCTAGACTTTGACATATACCATGATTGTTGAGTTTTAGCAATGCTAAGGGCCAATGCAGGAAATTTTATGGTCTTTTGACAGAATTTAAGTTTTTAAATAAGGTCTTTAATCAACAATCTGGATACAGTTGGCATCGCCACATCTTAGCGATATTTCAGAAATCAAAAAATCTTGCTATTTCGTTCCAATTCCACATCCCTTCAATAAATAAATTCTTTTGGTCTGAATATCCAGGATATACTTTAATACCAACAGTTAAATGAATATAAACCATATTGGTCGGTCTAGAGATATATATTTTCTTGTAGGCTTATTGCCACACCACCCATGCGTGCTTTCTTTGGCAAGTCTATATATAAAGTTGAAATCTGATCCAACATGCTTGAATTGTAACTCGACACTTGAGCAGAAAGTCACATCGCGATAAATATTACTTGTTAATTACAGTTCTCTTCACGATTTGTTGTTGCAAATTTAAATTTCATCACACAGAGTTGCAAATATTGTTACAAATGCAACAAACACACTCCTGTCCGGCTCTCCCACCCTACCCATAGTATAATTTTAATTTATCACCCAGATTCTGGGTGACATGTGACCAGACTTCCCAATTCAAGTTCGCCGCTTGATGCCCAGTTGTTTACCATTACCTTTGCTGGCAGTAAAAAGAATTATCATGTACAGCTCGACGAATCCGCTGTAATTAAATCGATATATGCTGATGAGGACGTTTTGGGTAAAGACTTGTGCCTAGTTATTGACATCACTCTTGCCAAAGGAGGCCCAGAAGCTGTGGTAGAGTCATATACAGGACAAACAAACGAAAACTTGTCTTTAAGGTCAAAACTCAATTGGAGTTTGCCAAATATACTACAGAGTGAGACCATGGTCAATATTTATTGTCTCTGAACTCTACATTTAAGGTTGCAAAGACAACCATCTCAAGAAGCATGTAGTACAGTATTGGCTGACAAATCAATATCGATACAGTAAAGTGCTTGACAGAATAGAGAAATCCCATGCAATTTATAAAATGTAAAGACTGTTTTCCATAATTACAGTGGGCAAAGCAGGCTTTGAAAAACAATGCACGCTCCACCCTCGCTGGCAAACAAATGTAATGGAAAACCATCAGTGGCCTTTGTCTGAGCCTGTCACGCCCGCACAACGGCACAAGCAGATTTTCGAATCCTAACTTATAGGACGACTTTCACAAGTATTTTCACATTAAGTACTGGCAGGTACTGCCAACTTCATTTTAAGAAACTTGACAATGTGAATTCAAAAACTGGCAGACTTTTTAATTCTTTCAAATTGCTGGTGTAAATATCTTGTGGGGAAAATTTACAGAATGCAGACTGGAGGCGTACCTGAACGGGTAAATCTCATGTTTCTAAGAGGTGGGAACCAGCAGCTGTATTTACTAAATTCTAAAACTTATCTGCAGAAACTTATTTTCTACTGTTATGATAGCTGATATGTCACAGTTTTCAAAAATAGTGCTCACATTCTCAGAACTTCATTTTCATAAGAAATATACAAGGTTAATCAAGATGATATTTGACAAGTCATAATTTTTGTAAATCAAAAGAATGAAATGCTGGACCACAACTCCATCATTTTCGGTGAAAGATGAAAAGGCTTACCTTCAGCAATGTTGGCGTGAATGTGTTGAGCAAAATACCATTGTTCCAATATATATCATCCATGTTGATCAACTGGACGACAGAGTGAAAAAAGTGCATACCTCGTTTCTTAGCACCACGGGACACGACCTTTCACAAGATAGAGAGGCATCGGAAAACTCCAGCACATGTTCTTCATTCCATTCAACAACATCGTCTCAATTACAAGGCAAAGAAGAACTAAGTCAGCCAGCAGAAATAATCGTTGAGACAACTGAAAATGTAATTGACATGCAACTAGCACCAGAAGAAGCATTTGAATTAACTGATAGCCAAGGGACAAAGACAACATCGGACACGAGCACATCATTTCTTGGCCAAGTTCCTATCACAAGAACCACTGATGAAACGAAATGGGGAAAAAACCATGTTCCCCAGAGCTCTCTTTGTAAAGCTCTGGCTATTGTTTCGGGTCCATCAGAAGAAGTATCAGAGTTACATCGGAGACTGAAAGCTACAACACACTGTCGCACAGCGATTTATGATGAAAAAAAATACATGCAGAAACTTGCACATTTTCAAAAAATTGTTCTCGCAGAAAGTTCAGCAACCAAACAAGCTCTTCAAAAATGGGAAAAATCATGAATTCATGAAAACAGATTCAGTAGCATCAATTCATTTGAGAAGAATAAAGTATTCTGACACATTATTTAAACAATGGAAGATGAAATAGTATAAGTAAACTAACAAGAGCCTGACTTCATATATGCTCTTAACTCATAATGTATCGGTCTACAACTATCATGGTCTCAGGGTAGAGGCACACAGCTAAAATGACAAAATTTTTGAAATTGAAAAACTGTAGTTGTTTCTAAAAATTCACAATCCATTAAATAAATGTACATGACTTTCACTAGAAGATCAAATCAAGTAAGATTGTCTGGCATTAGACAGAGTAAAAGAATGAAGTAGCGTGCATGAGCGTGCAGTTTAACGGTTTAGCCCAACATATTAGCAGACATTTTTGCTATGTGCCAAACTCTTGCCTCGACGCGAGTGCAAAGGAATCAGCAAAGCACATTGGGGAGCTAGTGATGTGGCTTAATGGTAACCATAAACGAAAAAATCATTCACAATTAAATCATTCACTGTTATATGTGATGTAAAATATATATATTCAAAATAAACTAACAAAGTAAATACAATCTCATTCTGAAGGCTTTACACTACACTAAATAAAATAACAATATGGTGTCCTTAAATACCGAGTTCAGCAGGAGGCCTGGTAACTAAAGTTAGTAATATTCATAAGAAAACAATAAGTTCCTTATCAATTAGCACATTCTCCCCTACATAAAATATAATGAAATTCTAAAATTAAGTAAAATAAAGTTAGTCCTAGTGTTTCTAATGTTCTTTAGATATCCAAGCTCCCAAATCTAACTAAATGTTAGTCTATCGGGTGCCCTTCTTTGTCGCTCTGATCGACGCAGAGGTTGGGATTGATGATCAACCTTTAGAGTACTGTCCGTTGGCCTGTCCGATTCGATGCCTTCCACGTCTTGTGACTGGATTTCCGCTCCGGTTTGCTTTGGGTTGACTTCTTTTCTATGGTTTCCTGCAGAACCAACAGAACGGGATTGGCCTACTCTGTCAGCTGAAGCTTCCCCATTATCAGGTGGGGCTAGATGTTTAATCGACACTGTATCCTCCCTTCCATCCGGAAATCGCACATGAGCATATTGCTGGTTGGCTTCCAATAGATCAACTTCATCAACCAATGGGTCGTACATTGAATTTCTTATGTGTCGTTTCAATAACACTGGACCAGGGGTTGTCAACCAGGATGGCACAGAGATTCCACTGGTCGATTTGCGTAGATAAGCAAACATACGTTCATGCGGGGTCACATTCGTTGCTGTACAAAGTAGGTACCAATGTAGTGCATCCAACAGCACTTCTTGTCAACCACTGGTAGGTAGTCCTTTCGTCTTGAGTGCTAAGGTCATGCTTTCCATAATGTTCCCATTCTGACGTTCAACCTGCCCATTACATGGTGGATTGTAGCTTGTTGTTCTACTAGTTGAAATCCCTTTCTGTAGTAAAAAATTCTTTAACTCTGAACTCATAAATCCCAAGCCACGATCTGTATAGATAAAGGTTGGCATACCAAAACATAGAGAATGCGAGTCACACCCGGATGACACAATGATCTATGCAGTTCATACAGCTTATCAATTGTAAGAGAGATACTTTTCACTCTTGAAAGAGCGTCCGCTGGTATGTTCTCCATATATATATATATATATATATTGTAACTTGTTCTACTAGTTGAAATCCCTTTCTGTAGTAAAAAATTCTTTAACTCTGAACCCATAAATCCCGAGCCACGATCTGTATGGATAAAGGTTGGCATACCAAACATAGAGAATGCGAGTCACACCCGGATGACACAATGATCTATGCAGTTCATACAGCTTATCAATTGTAAGAGAGATACTTTTCACTCTTGAAAGAGCGTCCGCTGGTATGTTCTCCTCGCCCGCTCGATATATTATATCAAAGTTATACATCGACAATTCTATTCTCCACCTCATTAAATTATCGTTCTTAATTTTGCTATGATGTTTAGTATCAAACATGTAGGCAACCGACTTTTGGTCTGTTATAAGCTTAACATGCTTTCCGGTGAGGTAATGCTTCCACTTACGTATTGCTCCTACTATAGCTGCTGCTTCCTTCTCGATTGCAGAGTGTTTCAATTCCGGGCCGTTCAATGTTCTTGAGAAGAAAGCTACTGGGCGTCCTTGTTGATTCAATATAGCAGAGAGTGTGTGATCTGATGAGTCAGTCTTTAATTCAAAAGGGAGAGTTTTGTCAATAGTTCCTACAACATTTTCTATACCTCCTTAATCAAACTAAATGCTCTATGAGCTTCTTCTGGCAAAGGAAGTACAGTATTTTGAGACAAGGGTCTAATCTTCTTCAAGAAATCTTTAATCCACTGAGAATAATATGATAAATCTTTTTTGTGACTTCGAGTTTTCTGGTGGGGGTAACTCTCACAAAGGTTTCAACCTTTCTAAATCTGGTCTAATTTCTCCCTTTGAAACAACGCTACCGAGGATACTTATAGTTCTTGTAGAGAACACACATTTACCTTCATTGAAAACCAAGTTTCACCTCTTAGTTGCTTCCATAAACTTTTCAAGGTTCTCATCATGGTGAGCCTGATCCCTACCGCAAATCGTGATATTATCCAAATAGGCAAATATATCTTCTAAGTGTTCCCCGGAAATTAAGTTGTCCATCGTTCGTTGAAAGGCCACGTCTCTGTTAGTCACCCCAAAAGGAATTCTGCAAAATTGATACAGTCGACCCATTTGCTTCAAAAGCAGTATACCTCTTTTCTTCCTGTTTAATAGGTACCTGATGATATGCACTCTTAAGGTCAACTGTACTCAAAACAGTATATTTAGCAATTTGATTAACTGTGTTGTCAATTCTGGGCATAGGATATGCATCGAGTTGGGTAAATCTGTTTATTGTTTCGGAATAGTCTATAACCAATCGCTTCTTATGATTTTCATTTCGCGTCACTACAACTTGTGCCCTCCAAGGGGAATCACTTGGTTCCTCTAATCACATGTCCTACACAGATCGGTTATGCCAATTAGATATTCTTTCATTCTATATCATATTATATGTTCAATTACAGTAAACTATGATTGTTTGTTCTACGATTAATTAATTAATTAATCAAATGAAATGACTATAGTTGGGCAGCAACCACATGATACTTCTTCTATCATATAAATAACTTTTTGACATTGAATTGGGCATGCAGGCCAGTAAACTGTTTTAGTTTGGGTACATTTGCACGTCTATTGATTCCAAAACTTTAGAAAATAAAACCTTATATTGATACAGACATGAATTGTGGAAAATTATCTTTATATTTCTAAACAGACTGTTGGGAAGATTGCTTTGAAATTTGCATTAACCTAGGATTAAGCTGACCAGCTTTTGAACAACCAGCCCGGGTGTGTATAACAGTTCCCAAGTGCACATGCAATCAAGACTCAAGAGCACAGTTAAAAACAATGAAAATTAGGGATTTGAGGGCAGATTAAATTGCAATAATTGTTATCTATAATACACAACAGGTGTGCTGAAATTTCTGCCTAAAAAATTACCGTGTGACGTTGTTAGAGTGTGACATTGACCAACTCTGCAGTCTGGCTAACTATTCAACATTTAATCAATAAAGTCCAGCTGTGTAATTTGCTAATTGATTAGTTACAAATTTCAAACAGACGGTCAAGTCTGTTCTGTACAACAGTTCTGCTCATAACATTGCAGGAATGGCAAGACATGTATGATACCCAAATTCGTGTTTTTTGATGTTTTCTAAATTATGAAACCTGTATAATGTATTTATATATATTCATTAAATAGCAAGCCATACCGAGTGTTGTTATAGATATCGATGAAATACATATTTTTAAAATATAATATCTTGAAAATGTAAAAAAAACTTGTTTACATTACGAATTGAAAATCTCTTTAAAATTGTCATGATGACAGTCAGTAGAATCACAAAGCATTATATATGAATATGATTATATAAATTTATAACATACCTGATATATTTTAGGACAGGTTACCATGATGACCAACACAAAGACTGACATCCCATTCAAAACCTTTTGGAAATATATTAAAAGTGCATTAATATTTGCTCAAAATTCAGAAAAAGTATCATAAGAAATATATATAACACTCCTTTTCTTCCGCCATTGAGAGCAGTTACTATAGCGACAGAAAAGAACTAGTTTCCAGGTCATTTTGCGTTTATGAACGTGGGGGGTAATTATCAAAATTTGAGTCATGACTTAAATGCACCGAGGTCAATCACAATATTTCACAATATCACAGGCTGAAACAAATCCTAGCTGTGACATTCACTATCGTGATTATTTGCATCAACTGCAATCGAATATATTTTGAGACTGAGTTGGTTTGACATGAATGCTGACAAGGTTGGATCAGAATCATGGCCTTCAACCGCAACTGGACACACCAACCAGGGGAAGGGGCTAAAGAGAAAAGTGGCATCATATGAAAAGCTCACAGAGGCAAAGAAAGGAAAAATGTGTGACAAGGCGAAACCCAAAAAAAAACCAGAAAGGGAATACTTAATTGGCTCAGAGGTGTATCATGGACTGAAAAAATTCGGACAGCCACAGCGATGTCCACTGAGAAAAGCAGAAAGATTGCATGTGAAGGTGGGTCGCCCTGGTCCAGAGGAACAACTAACCGACGGACAACTCCAGATTGTCGAAGAAAACGACGAAATCTCAAGTTCTGAGAATTTGGAGTCTTTGAATGCGCAGGTAGCGCGTCTAAGGCGGGAGCTGTCTAAACAAAGTGCGACCTTGCAGGAACAGCAAACATTGATTTGGGAGAAGAATGTCATCATTCAAAATTTAGAGGATGAAAAGAAGTTATTGTTTGCTAAGAGTGATGGAATTTTTGAAAAAGTAAACGAGCAAGTACTGGAAGGATTCCTGGATTCGTCAGAAATCGAACGAACATTGGAGAGGCACTTCAACAACTGGGGGCCATGCCAAGAAAGGTCTCCTGGCTACGAAAGATCACTTGATCATGAACAACAAACGATACTGTCAGATGTGGAGTCACCGAGTGACACAGAGTCGAGGGTTAATTTAGAGCATTGCCGGAGGACATGGGAGAATTCACACTATCATCGGAAGAGCTACCACAACCAGTGCGACGATTGGCTGACACGTCAGAACTTGCACCATTATTGGAAGAGCCACCGGAAAGTGAATCCGAGTCTGAAGAAACCACGGAGGGTGGCAGCCTGGGAGAGAGAGTAGGAGGTGGTGAAAGGCAACATAATGTGCCTAGGAGAAAGAACGTTCAAATTGTGAATGATGGAAAAACGAGAAGGAAAATTATCGTAAAAAGAAATCATTGAAACGTATGCTCGGAGAATGGCATGGATGTACGCAAGTACCAGGTGTACTTCTATATTGGATGAACGATACACCTGGTGTCCTTGTGTACACCTGGTCTTGAACCTGCGTTCAAAACATTTATAGAAGATTTCTCTGTGTGAGAAAAATTTTCCAGATCTGTGATGCAGATCGTTTCATCAAGAAAAAACATGACAATACCCATTGTGGCGGATTCCACGAAGCTGCGCACTGACCAACTAAGCAAATTTGTATGTGCAGCAGTAGCAGATTCCACAACTGCTGGTGCGTTTCCTTATTTGTTTTCAGTTCACTATAATTTCTGTTTACTCAATGCTATATTAATAGCGCCATCATGTAAGGATCCGGAGCTTGGTAAAATAATTGGGTACTTGTCTAGATTATCTTCAGCTGCTGCTTTTGTCTCAACAAAAAATTTGTAAAATCTTTCTTAACAAGCTTAACCTTACTAACCCTATCAAAGATCTATTTTGTATAAATTGTAAATATTTACTAAATTGTAATTGTATTCATTACTAATTATTTTTTTCTCAAATGTAAATAGTCGTAATCTTTAATACTTTCTATGCCTGTATATATCAAAATAGTGCGAGGGCGGTATGTTAGATAACTTTTATGGTTAATACGTTTTCCCTCGTGAAATAAAGTTTCTATTCTAATCATTAGGATTTATTATTCCCAGAAAGGAGCTCTCTTCTCCACAAAGGCTTTGTGTTTGTATATTGTGTAATTTGCAAAAGACGAAAGCCATTGCTACTTACAACCAGCCCTCTTTAAGGTCCATACACACCGGACGCGATTTGACAATGGGACGCGATTTTCACTGACCGATAACTTTGATCCTAGTGTAAATTTTACAAATATTTAGAAGCATTATAACATTTTGAGTTATTTGTTCTACATATCTTTCAAAATTTGATGTATGGACCTTTAGGATTAAGGTTAGGACTATAATACAAAAGAATCAAGAAAGGCAAAGGTCAAAAAATAATAACCGCGTTCTTCAAGTGTTACAGGTATTGCTAGCAGTGCATTAATAAAGGATCGACGTAACCGTTCTTAATACTCTGTTTTACTTGTTCAAACTCTTAACCATTAAAAGTTAGTTATAATATCAATCCGCATGATTAACATGCGCAATATAAATAACAACATTAATATAAACGTTAACTTGAATCCTAGTTTCATCTTCAGTTCCCGGATACTGAAAAATCGTACACCCTGTTATCTTCGAACTGGCTTAATTACTCTTCATCCATTATTGTGACCAGTTCATTTCATTCTCAGGTCGGTCTACGGGCATGTCTGATGATTCATCTGAGGATTCACTATCTGAAGATTTACGTGAGGATTCACCCGATGACTTTTTAGTTGAAATACTCGACGAGTGAACTGGTGAATCTTGACTGGAGTCTGTATCAGATGATTCAGCTGACGCTGCGTTCTCATCCTTGTTCTCTGTTATGTTATCCAAACACAAGAAAATTCTATTTTGGTATTTTGATTGATAAACACAACTTTCTTCGATGGCATGTTGATTTCCTTTATGCTTACTACTTTTCATGAACAAAAATGCTACAAACCAATAACATTAGTTTTTATATAGAATGCCAGATGATTTTACTCACCAAGGCCTCAAAGGGAGATCTCTGGAGCTTAATAGGTTGAGTATGATTATGTAAAGATGTACCTGATTAATGACTCTGCACTTAATTGTTGTTCCTGCAGGAAAAAAGCAAGACGAACTTTCAGGTTCTTTGACATCTATCTAATAGACTTGGTCACAATAAACGTCTCCCTTTCTAACTGGCCACAAGCAATGATTTCGTGATCGTGAATAAGCCACTTGGTGTCTTCGGAACCTATAATTGCAATTAAGTAAATTTGTAGAAAAGACAGGTAACTTTAAAAGCAAGAAAAATATCAGTTCATACTGTTTTGACAAGATTTTATTTAGTCTTCTGACTGTGAAAAGTCCAATCTAAAAAATTAAAAGAACACTTTTTAAACTTTTCCTGTTTTGAATCGAGTTACCATCACTTCAGGCCTGTTGCATAAACAAGCCGCAGCGATTCATTGCCTTTTATACCAACAATATTATAATGTCACAATACCTAGCTACTGCAATCTGCTTGAATGATTTCTCTTTACCAGTGAATTTATATTGTTTTCGCTTCATGGATTATCAACAAGTTTTTAAGCTCTTACATTTGATTACAACTTGGTAATATAAATATGAAAAAGTGTATGATTGGTTTTAAAAAGCTTAAAAAACAGGAATTTATGAAAAAACATTTGACTTGGCATTGGAAAGGGATAATCTGCACAATCCGTTGCAATGTCCATCCCTATCCGGTAAAGTAAAATTCATTTCTTCCCGGCAATAAGTAATAGTCTGTATTCTTGGGTTTCGTATGACATCACAAAAGTGATGGGGGGTTAACTCTAAAACAAAATACAGTTTCCAGAGTGAGTCGATTGTTCGTTTTATGTATTAGCCTTGTGTTTGGTGGCAAATACGCGGAATTTCGTATCATTTTCTCACTCCAGTACAGCATTTGAGGTTGACACCCCATCAGATTCATTGAATATTGCCGTAGTGAAACCCAAGAATGGCTGGTTCAAGCAATATCCGAAACTTGGAAACATTTTCACCATATTGAAAATACCAATTGTAATAATAAGTATGTTTGTAATAATTGTAATAATTAAGTCCTTTGTTATGTTTATTCAACATGGCGGAGGGCATTATGATGCACTTTCACAACATACAACGCCAGCAGGGATGGAATGCAAGCAATCAATTAAGACTAAAAGCCTTCTTGCAGCAGCTGATGAGAACAAACAAAAAGAGACAGGAGATGATTTACCGTCTCCACAGTCACGCAGATGTGGTGTGAATGCAAAGAAAAAACGTAACGCCCGAAAATACTCTGTGTGATGTCCATGCCTGAAGGGTACATCTTGTCAGTGTAGTACCTCTTGTAAATGTGTTGGGTTTTGCGGAGTTTCTCAAAGGAAAAGGCGAGCATATCCACTACAAGAAAACAGCCCTAAAAAGGCGAGAGTTTTCATGAATGAGAAGAAGAAGGAAGTCCAGGAAGGAACATGAGTGATGGAAAATTCTATTTAGTGCACGCCATTGATAATTATACACACTCCTCTAAACAATCAACGTTGAATATGGTTTGCAAATTATACAACAATATATCAAAGATGATTGAGGAATCTACCTTTTTGTCTGTGCTTCCAATAAGACAAAGGAATATTATAATGATAAACAGAGAAGTAGGAAAGGTACTGCAGAATGATGAAAACTTCAATAGTTTTGTTGGTAGTGTTTGAAATGAACAGTAATTAGGCTCTACAGTATATTATGCCATACAGTATACATATGTATGTATGTATGTTATACTTTAGGTAAGGGACAGCGATTTGATTTTTGATGGTGGGGGGCGGCAGAATCCCCCCAAAATATCGGGCAAACATTTCAAACTTAAAAAAAATCGTGCAAGAATAAACGGATGAAAAAAAATCGATCAAGACTTTCAAGTGATAATCTGTATTTGCCATTCGGTGCGTTTCCGTTCTACTCGAGCATATGCCGAGTAGGGCGAAAATGTTCCTGGAGGCCCCGCTTGCAGAGGCAAACACGTTTTTGACATTTTTTTGGTATAAACCTAAATAATGAGATTGTAACCTAAATAATGAGATGACCAGTATTACAAAAATGGTTGTTCTTTATTTCTTTCCTCCGACTCCTATGATGAACATGTTCGTAACAAACTAGGGAAACTACGATTATATAGAAACTAAAATAGGTGAAATTTTTATGGGACACGATAAAAGGCGAGGATATTAGATTGAGTAGGAAAGGCAACCCTGTATGCGTTTCGACCTAATAGTCCAAAGGTCTTGTCGTTGCGGGACATTCCAACACTATGCACTTTATTGTTCATCGTTCGTATTGGTGAAGTTTGAATGATTGTGATGGTAAGGGTGCAGTAGGATTTACTTCGTAGTGTAATCATGCATCTGACTGTAGGTGATTGCATCCAAGTATGGTGTTAGGAGCTTAAATGACAGCGATAGGGATGTTTGGGAGCAATTAGTGATACTTCAGGGATAAAAATAATTATAAGACCATGCAGGGTTTGATTTAAAAAAAGACAAATAAGAATATACAATAATAACTAAATATGTACATGTGTAACAAAACCAAAACAGGAATTAGTAAATGAATGATACATGTACGATATGGCCAATTGTTAGCTATAGCTAGTTCTGGATTTTGCCACGTAGAGGATCCAAGTTCACATTATTTTCCGAACTCCAACTCTCCTTCCTTCTCCTCTGCAAATTCTATCTACACCACCTTAAAAAACCCAGCTATTAAATTAACTATTAAATTAGCTATTAACCAACCTTAAATTTAAGCAAATTTAAAGTTGGTTAAACCAAAGTTAAATTTCCTATTTCGTCATGTGAGCTGAAAAAGACTGTATAGGTCGAAACACGTACAGGGGGTTGCCTTTCCTACTCAATTTCAATCTTTCGCTTTTACAGACTCTCCTTTTATCGCGTCCCATAAAAATTTCACCTATTTTATTAGTTTCCATATAATAGCAGTTTCCCTAGTTTTTTTACGTACATGTTCTTCATACGAGCAAGGACGTCGTGAAGCACTTGAAGTTGGGGGGGGGGGATTTTATCTGAAGTGTAATAATTATAATAGAGCCTTTTCCGATTGATTTCCACTGTCATACTAAGTTTGCAAAGAAAAGGGGGGGGGGAGGGTCCTGGGGGTCCTCCCCCACATAATTTTTACATTTTTGAACTCAGTCCAGGACTGCATTTCTGGCGTTTTCTAACCAAATTTGCAAACGAATCTAAATTGACTGTATTTTACAAAAATGGTTATCATTTAACAAAAAATAACGACTTTATTATGCAAATTTTATCTGATGTCAAAATTTAAAATTGAATTTTTCCTGATTTTTACCTGAGTCCCCCCCCCCCCTACACCCACCCCGGTCGATACATCCCTGCTTAGGAATCGGAGTAAAGAAATAAAAACAAGCGTTTTTGGAATACTGGTCCTCTCATTATTTAGGTTACACAATGTCTTGCACCAATAGTTGTCAAATTACCTATTTTACAAAAAAATGTAAAAAAATACCAAAAATGTATATACACACATACAAAAAATAGTGTATCCTTCGACTGACCAAAAAAAAATGTAACAGTGTCAGGAAGCGGGAAAAAATTATGGGGCAAACTGAAAATCTCCCCCCCCCCCGCTCCCACCCCCATCAAAAATGAAATGGTCCATCCCTAAAAATACTTTTAGCAAATTTACTTCTCAAATATTTCGAGACGGATTTGTTTCAAAACTGAACTTTATTTGGATTTTTGCTTTACCGCATATCAATCATTAGACCATGAGCTAATAATATTTGAGAGGCACACTTGTAGCAATATCTACCACAGCTGCTTTAATACTAGAGTGATTAAAACGTGCATGTGCTTGAAAATTTACTCATTACAACAAGGAGGATGGTGTATCAGATTTAAGGAAGAGTACTTGACTAATTTCTTTTGTTTTTTCTTGACTAATTGTTAAGGAATATTTTAATGATTGTTGTTAGACGATGCGGTCTCGGACATCATATACGTTTGGCATTGCCAAAGAGCTAAGGTTAAACTAGAACAAACATGAATAATCACGCTGTGTGATAAATTAGATGACATTAGTTTTGTTCCAATTTGTTCTGTTCGAATAATGTTGTTCTAGTTTTGCGAATATCAGTAAACGATTTGCGGTCAAGTGGTTGAATTTCGAGATAACTGAAATGACACCTAACATGTCAGTTAAAAGGTCAAATGCACGTAACAAATTCCATTATCGATTTCTTCGAATTTCTTTTCTTTTATGCTTTATGGCAGAGAATAAATCAAACAAACAGTATTTTGAAAGGGCTTTATCAAAATCTTTGACGAATTTTGGACACACGACGCTGAAAGAACAGCCAAACTAGTCATGTATTTGAAAGCTTGTTGTTGACAGCCATGATGTTCTGCCAATTGGCTTCGCCGGCAAAAGTCTTAATATCATCAGGTCCTACCGGCGTTGTTTTCTGAGCTACATTACTTTCTTCATGGTACGATTGAGAATTTCATTGTTGCTGTTGTTAGCCCGCTAGAGTATATCACTATATCCGCGTCCAACAAGTTGAGACCTTGAGAAAGCTTGGCAGTCAAGCGATGCACAGAACTGACTAATTAAATCTTTGTTTGCTGTTTGGTTAAATAGAGAAACTGATTCTTAATTATATAAAAGTACCTTGAATTTTTAAGTTTAATTAAAAAGCAAAATGCACACTGTGCAGACATGTTCATGAGAACATACATTTTTGTGTAACGAAATCTACAACATTTGTCAATCATATTGCATGCTGTGTCTAAAAATAACATGTGGGCGTCCCACGGTCTAGACAGGTTTTGTGTCAGGTACTATTCTGTGATTAGAGGCTGAACTTCAGGTTATGTATTGATATATGTTCATACCAAGTTTTTTTCATTATAAAAGTGTATTTTCCCAATTTAGATTGGGTGGGTGGGTCATGAGATAAATTTGGTAAGATTGGATGGGCTTTGAAATTTTTATCTACATCCTAAGATGGGTCACCAAACTTATTGGCAAAATTTGTGATTTACCTCCAGCCCACCCTAGCAGTTACTTCATGACCAGTCCCTTATATATATTACAATGAATAGACCTTATTCATAATGACGTCACAAGGCTTGATGCCCGCGAGGAATGCTGGTCTTATAGTAGTCATCGCCCTGTAGTGGTCATCACCCTGGAAAATTTCGATAGTGGTAATTTTGAATTGTTGAATTTTCCCTGGGCGATGACTACCAAGACCAGCATTCCTCGCGGGCATCAAGCCTTGTGACATCATTATGTATAAGGTCTATTGTAAACAATACAATGTTACAGATTGCTAGTGCTGTTGCTGTTGGCGGTTGTCTTCCGTTTCTTAGGTTTGTCTGCACCATCGTCTGCGCCAGTAGCAGCTTTCTTCTGTTTGTTACCTTGCTCACACACCACAATCTATACACATAAGTTTGAGCCGAATAAGTCAACAGTAACTCTCGTGACAGCCTGCATGGTTACACTGTAATGACGAGAATCTGAATAACTGAATTATCCATGCAGTCAATCTCAGATAGTAAGAGGTCACGACGTATACATCGTATTACTGTTTCTAGTCTAGAAATGTCGAGTTTAATAATTGAACTTTTTCAGAGACTAGTTACAACTCACTGCCTGTGATACATAAGTACACACAAGCTAGTATACACACAGGGAAAATACAAGTTAGGTCTTGTCAAACGTCACTCTACTTATGCGCCAAACCTGATTACTGAGAGCTCAAAACATTTCGTAGACATAGACATAGTAGTTTTGGCCGGCGATTGCGTATAATGGCCCAGACAGACCCAGTGTGATTCGGCAAAGCGATTTTTTGAAATTTTTAAAGTGAAAAAGCTGTCCCTGAAAGGAAATTTTGGAACCTATACAGACACAACGAGTCAAAATGTACTATTGTTAAAGTAATTTTGAAATATATTGTATCAGGATCATATTAACTTCTGAAAACTGGAAAATCTTATCGCATTGCCAAACACAGGGCTTCCGTTTAATTATGCATGACATGTTCCGTGTTCACATGTAGAATAGCAGACAAAATGCATTGGCTTGACATCTATATACAAAAAATGTACATGTTGAATCATTCTTGCTTCACCTTGTGCAGGCAAAGCGATTGAAATAAAAAATTATGTTAAGTTAATTCCCACACATATAGGCATTGTTTATATATTTTGACATGCAACTATAGCACAAACCTGTGTTTCATCCGTCTGCTTCTCCATTAGTTTTTCAATTTGGGTGCTGGAGTATCCTCAGCAATTTTAAGGCTTTAAATTTTAAGTCCACCAATTTTCCGTGGCTTGGTCAAACTTCGCTGACAATTTTGGAAGGTCTTGCCTGAGCTTACGCAGAGGGATCTTTTCGATGTTAGGCTTGACCAATTCTGGAATCCCACTAGGCAACTCGTGCACAAGGGAACATAATAGCTTTTCCCCGCAACATGACGAACTTGAACTGATGTTGGTTAATGTGGCCAGTTACCTCCATCCAGCACTCAACATTGAACATACAGTCGATTGTCACGTTTGTTGGCTCAGGGGTATAAGTTGTCCACATTTCAGAAACAAGTTCCGGCAATGTTCGAGCATTTCATTTACTTCTTGTGTGTGGCCAACCATCAGGAACAAGAGTTTCATCTGTATTATCGCATCAAATAATTTGCATGAATGATAGCACTTGCATATTGCTATCCTTTTACGGACAGTAACATACTGTAAATATCCTTTTTCATAACATGTGTTTTTACTCAAAATATTAAAACAAGAAAATTTGCTCTCAAGTCCATAAATGAAATTATTATGTTTTAAATGGAGGAAACTGACATGCAGATGATTAAAAAAATCAATCTCCATATAAACTCAATAATTCTTACTAATATATCATCTACCTTTTCCTGAAAAAGAATTGGCATCCTTAACAATAGGTTTATAGTGAGGTTGGCAGCAATCAATGAAGGTGAGTGCTGTCGTATGTGCATTTCCCAAGACACCAGTTACATGCGTCTTAAACTTGGCAGTAGTGCTGTCAATCTAGATACATGCATGATAAAAAAATATATAAATTAATGTTTGAAACACTATTAATCCACATAAATTAACATGCAGCCATGTATATATAGTTTACCTTAGTTGTTACATTGAAGTGCAATTATGCTTTGACTGATCCATACCGTCTATGATCAAAGAGATGTATTTATCTGGGTTTTGCTTGGCCTTTAACCCATGTTTGTAATATTTTTCTCTCTCTGCCATGTCAAGGACAGGTCAAGTAAGAGGTACAAGCAGGTGCATGAAATGTTTTACGGTAAACTGATTATATTTGCTTGCAGTCAATGCTTGTAAATTTTGCCTGCTAATTAATTACCAATTATGACGAGGCCAAGGCCCAAGTGAAGGTGAGCGACGGCATTCCGATCAGTTCCAAACTGTACGTAAATTTGCCGTCAATCCTTGACTTAAATTTGTGTCTTGAACGGATTCTGTTGTGTCATATTAAATTACTCCTGTGCAGATGATTAAGAGCTTGCCTCACTGTGTATTGATTTATTTCATTTTAAAAACGTACACAAATAGCAACGAACAAAATGTAACTTGTAACTTTGGCAAAATAACTTGTAATCGTTTCAATTTTATGGCATTTTTTGTAACTAGTTACCGTTACAGTTACATGTTCTCAAAATGTAACAAGTTACCGTTACCGTTACTGAAAAATGTAATGATTACTTGTAACTAGTTACTTTTAACGAAGTTACTTACAGCACTGGTTGCATCACACAAAAGCATGCAAGCATACTCTATTCTTCACTACCTACATTGGCATGTCACAGTCAAGAATATACTTCAGATAACATTAACTAATCCAAAATTATATTTCATTAAAATTAATCACTTATCAATTGTAACCCCCAATCTTAGGGAAAGCTGAAAACATGGAATGTTAAGCCTCAAGACCCCCCCGCACTCAGGCAAACTGTGCTAAATAAGAAGAAGGATGACGGACGATCACAACAACCACAATAACAATAACAATAATAATAACAATAATTTTTTTTTTAATAATAATAATAATTTATTTATAAAATAATCCTACTACATTAATAACTAATTACTAGTATATACAAGGAAGTGAGTCTAAATTGTTGTAGTATGTTATAGTATATGTTATAGTAAGAATTTGTGGTAAAAGTCTAAGCCTAAATTTTGGCACGAGAATTGTCTACTTCGAAGTCCGTTTCATGAACGTTCGTTGTTATCCTCCTGGGTGCTCTAGTCCCTCTGAGACAAAGTAGAGCTGACCGCAAGATGGCAAAGCAGACCTTGGCTCATATCATTTTGTGATCTTGTGCCTTCGATTTTATGCTTGGCTTTTGCAGTGCCGTTGCCAAGAGAACAATTGCAGCTTTCAGCACTAAGTGTTGTGTTTGCGACGCGTTGTTCCAATCGTTTATATGTTGTGTTAGCTGGTCGATAAAGTCTCGCCCAACTTTGCCATACGGGACGAGAAAAGTATTTTTACGCCATCGCGTAATTTCATCATATGCATTAATTATGGTTGAAGAGTTGACCGTAATTATTGAGCCGTCTGCTCTGCGTCCCCAGATGGTAATCGATGGTATATCAACAGCAACATAGGCGGGTAGACGTCCTGCTTCATGTATGCCGGCGTGTGGTTCACCAGGACAGTCATTGGTCACTTCAAAGCCCTCTACAGCTTCGGTTTCTTGCCATTCGTGACTGTTTTGGACAATATCATTGTCCGTATGCAAATCCAGATTGCTGTTTACCTCCAAATTTGCATTTTGACTAATGGTGTTTTGATTTTCAAAATTGTTAAATTCATGTTGTGAAATTGTGTTGTGCCTTCTCTGGTTTTCATCTAATGTCTGCTCTCTTTCGTCATTGATAACCGCTCCGCCGCTTACCTTACCGATAGCACGAGTCTCAGCTGCAGCGTTAATTTTCTCAAGCCTAGCGGCTTGATCTCGCAGGTTTTGGCTCTTCAATCCAAGATGTTCGTATCCTTTCTTGTCCCACAGATCTTTCATAACTTGTATATAGCCTTTCTTTCTGCCATTCACATGGCATGGCAGGTTTTCTGATTTAAGGAATTCCATCGCTTTCTTCTTACATTCTAGCAGATCGGTATTCATTTGCTCTGTCCATTTTAATTTCGATTGCTGCTGTCGCGACATCATGTATATAGTAATAAAGACTTTATTTGACTCAATACACATGACACTAATAACACCAAAATATTCTAAAATAATATGTATGGTATTAAAGATGAAAATAGATATACACACCTGTCATCCAGAGTGGTAATTGAATATTGTAATCAATAATTCTAGTGCATTCATAAATCTCAACCTGTTTCTCAGGCAAACTGCTGCAGCCATACAAACAGCAGGTGACCAAAATGTTTCAATATTTAAACCATACTTGTTTGCCCTGGATCTACTTCGGGGGTTCACAGAAGCAGCAACTAACACAGAAAATGCCAATGGGGCTCTTTCCTTCAGTTCCTTGTTAAAATTTTTTATTGAAAATTTCAACATATTTTCCTTATTCGGGCTCCTTAGACAGCCTGGGTTTTTCCTTGAGCAAAGATCAGAACATTCTCGGTTTATGTAATTTAACATTAACAGTTGAAGTTGTTTCTTGATGTTTGTGTTCTTCCATGCTGCATTCACTATCTGTTTATATGCTCCTCGCACAAGCATTTTTCCTAGTAACTCTAGATCACCTGGTAACTTTTGTTCAGCATTTTTACTGGGCCACTTGACTTTCACACACATTTGTAGATTTTAGGGCCCTCTTTTGAGTTTTCTCTTTGCTTAATTGGTGATACAAGCCATTGTGGAGATATATTACAGTACTGCTCAGAGATAACCTAACAAAAAAGTGTTCCATTTGGGCGTTCCATTTGCGGAATGCGTCCGGCTGCACTCGTATCGAAACTGGACATTAATACTCAGGAAATCATCACTATTTCCCGAGTATTAATCAGCGTCACTTTCACATTTTGTGTTTGCACATTTTTTAAAACCCTGTATATATAGTTTTAATTGCATTTTTTAGGTTCGTGTTTGGGCTGGAATTTCCTGGCGAGGAGCAACACAAGTATGTAATTTTAGTGGATGCATGGAAAGTATTGACTACTAAACAATTTTAGAAAGGAATTTGTTGTCATTCGTCTGAAAGGTATATCCTGATGGTCACCGCATAATGACCCAAAACATACAAGCAACTCGACAAAGAAATGGATGAAAGACAATGGGATTGTTCACTGGGTCACACCTCCTGAATCACCAGTTAGTCATCAACCTTCTACAATCTTCTACAGTTATTTAATTAAAATAATTGTATTTTATTGCATTTTATTTACCCATTAAGCACCAGCACTCCGCCCCAGACAAGTAAAATCTTCTGGCATTAGAGTAAAAGAGTAAAGCAAGGCGCATCGATAGGTTAATGACTGTTCTTGGTGGTGTGTGACCATTACTACCATACCACTTTGCAAGTATTTTTTATCTTTTCTATTAACCCATTGAGTGGCAGCACTATCTACTTGAGGAGTAAAATCGTCTGGTGTTAGACAGAGTAAAATACTAAAGTAGAGTGCATTTCCAGTACTGGCATTAGTGGTCATACACATTGAATATATGGAAAAGATCTAAAGTATTTGCACATTGTTTTGGTTCAAATTTTGAATATTGCAGATCGCTTTTCCAAATGATATGCACAAACAAATCCCAAATTTAGACCTTCAAATTCTAGATCCTGGCTACCATTTAATTACAAAACAGCTTCTGCCACTTATTCAGCCTGTTTAATACAGCTGGAGTTCACATGGACATAAACATTCATCAGTAACATTAATTGTGATACAAATTAATCCTTTAAATGGCAATGCACCCTACTTTAGTATTTTTGTCTAAGGCCAGGCAATTTTACTTGTCAAGTGGCTCTCCACTTGCTGCCACTCAATGGGTTAATTACAGAATAAATGTCAAAATAAACCAGATGCAGTATCTTTCTTACAATGCCAACAAATACAATACCTGTCAAAAAATGCAAACACGATTTTGTTCTTTGATTATTTGAGATGGGAAATATTATGTTTCGGGAAGTCTTTGAGGTAAATCAGAAGCGTTCTAATCTCGTGGTGCAAAGGCCGTCACATTTTCAAAACAACTCTTAGCAAGTACAGTTTTTAAATATGTGGAATTTTTGGCAAATCTTTAGCTACAGCAATGATTTATCATTATGCATGCAAAATGTGAAGGGGAAAACTTGAAAACTGAGCGCGCGGTGAGCATTTTGGTGAAATGGGTTTCCATCATGTGGAGTAACCTTAACAAACTTTAACAGGCAGTGGCACCAGCAAAGGCAAATAATTTGTTACCTTTTTAATCAGTTTTGAATGAAGTAACATAAGAATTCCCCCCTTTCCGGCAATACTGGTACTGTTTGGCAACTTGTCACAAAGACAATTTGGTTTAATATATGCAGGCTTAATACAAATGCTTAAGTTAATTAACAGGCTGTGATACACTCACATATGTAGTATGTGTATTGGTATTATTGCTTCATCATATGAGGATGCTTAAGTTAATTAACAGGCTGTGCTACACTCACGTATGTACTATGTGTATTGGAATTATTGCTTCATCATATGAGTTGTATTTCTTTCAGGGACCTTTTGGCATTTGTAATGATACCAGTATTACAGAAGCAACTGGATATCTTAATAATAATTTATAGAATGCATACCGAATCTGTGCTCAGAAAGACATTTTGTTACCGGATGGGGTTACAAATCTATGATTTTCCTAAAGATTATGGCTTAGAGGAATGTGGTAAGTGCCACCTTTTCAATTTCGGATAAGGTTGGCACTGGATGCTTTATGTGGGGTACACTCTTAACACTCAACAGTAGTGGTGTACATTGGATCAGATTAACCCAGCATTATCCGATGGTTGGCATACACTGTCAATCTTAAATCCGATTTTGATCCAATCTGTAGGTATACAATTCCAATCTGATCCAACAGGAGCTGCTGAAGTAAATAGTGAAAATGATCATATTTTGGAAGATATAAGGTTCCAAATTTATGTATAAAATTTTTACCTTTATTTGTAGGGTGGCCTGTTACAGAACAGCAATTGAAGGATGTGGCTGAGATGTCAGAAGTTTTAGACATTGACCAAGATTTTGTAGAAAGTGAATTCAGATTGAAATGTGAAAGAGCAATTCCTTTTCCTGAACAGGTTGAACCTGACCAATGTCCAGATGCATACATTTTTTTTCAAGATAAATTTTTGCAAAGTTTACTTCTTACGATCTGCAATCCTTCATCAGGCAATGTAACTACATACATGAATGATTTACATTCATTTTTGCCAAGGCCGATTCCATAACCTTATTAAACTAAAATTTTATAAAATGTTGTTTGATAGAAAATATAACAGTATAATATGCAGTACTTATGGTTGCTCCCTACCTGTTTTTGAATTGTGGAAAATTTATGATTCAGATTAATTTTTTGAAGAATTATAACTTGTTAGAAAACAGGGATTATGTGAGCAATATAAGGGACCGGTCATAAAGTACAGGGGGGGGGCTGGAAGATTCAAATTTTTAAAAACATATTTTTTGAAGACCCACCCCTCAAGTTAGGCATAATTATTGATGGCACACCCTTTTACCCTTGAATAGAAATTGATGACCCACCCCTGTGTTGAAAATTTGCTTCAAGACAAGAAGTGACTTGCTCGAAGTCTCTCTTTCTCTTCATTTTCTTTGTGTTCTTTCCACTATAGTGTGTACTACATGATGTAGCCAACAATTAATACACACTTTAGTGGTGAAAACTCATGGATAGCCCTTCATAATTGCTGTGTAGCGAGCAAGCGAAGCAGCATTCTAATATGTTTAGAGAAGTGTAGTTTTGAAGTGAATTGGGGACACTGTAATTGGGAATAGCTGTTGTGGTTTACCAGCCAGTGAATGTATAAGTATGATGGCAAAGTAAATAAGTCAATATTATTTAGCGCATTGCATTATGGTTGTGCGCGCTTGCTATGTGCAGAACGCAAAACATAAGCGATGTGCAACATACAGTGTTTGAGGTTTATTTGAAAGATATCGTTTATCGTTTTGCTTGCTTCGACTTGTAAATTGTTTTGACTAACATGACTGCACTTTGTAATTCACTCAAAGGACTTTGGCCACTGACAGCTGTAAGTTCTATATTATTATAAAGTTTTGGTTTCTTAGTTTAATACTGTGTATATAATGTGGTAAATGCACCTAGCAGTATTAGATTTAATATGAAATCCAATAGCAAAAACTTGTGTTATATAATTTACATGTACGTCTTAAGAATGCTTTGTTTGTAATTTATACATGTACAAAAGCAGCACGTAATTCATTAGATTCCACTTGGTCTTGGAAATATTATATATTCTGGCTGTACGTTTTAAGAATGCTTTGTCATTTTAATTTATACACACACTTAAAGCAGTGCATAATTGAACAGATTCCACTTGGTCTTCGAAATATTATATATTCTTGCTTATGCTTTAGTGAATATTACTTCCATAAACATGCAAGTATTCAATGAGATGCACATCTTTAATATTTCTTTTATTTTTTTTAATTGTTTTATTTTTATTGTCACCTTAGATTGCCCTTTAACCCCTGGTCTTGGCAACAAAAGCAATGCTTTTTCTCAGTTACACTCATGGCATGAATCGATTCCATATCCTTAAGCTCCGGCCACAGTGCTCACCAGTCACTGGCTGGCTGCGAGTAATAACTGTGCTTTATATAATTTGTACCATTTAGTTCTATTTGCTCTTAATGCCCACAGCATCCCTACCTTGCAGGTACCCTAGTTTATAAAATATTAATGATATCTTTTATTTGTCTCTGATAAAACTGTGATAAATTAACTGTGATTAAATCCAACTATATATTCTCCAGAACCTTGTGTTTAATACATATTGTATTTCTTCATTGATATTTTTCCAGCCATGTTTTGTAAAAATAAAAAGATAATATTTAATAATGTTCTCTACCTTTTGAAACCTGTATAAATCACATTTTACTATGACCCACCCCCAAACTGTTGCTAAATTTTCAATGACCCACCCCCTTTTAGATGTTCAAAATTCGATGACCTACCCCCTGGTTTTTCCAGCCCCCCTGTACTTTATGACTGGTGCCTAAAACAATATTTTTAGAGTTAGAATTGTTTCACAAAAATGATCTAAATGCAGTTACTATGGCAATGATGACTGATGTTTCAATATGGCTGATATTTTGGCCCACGCCTGTCAAAAATGCATCCAAAAGCGCCAATATGCGATACGCGGTGGGCAGCGGTTTTCGTTGGAAAAGTATTCAAAACATGCAAGTTACATGAAGTATACAGAGCGAAACTTTCAAAATGGCAGGCGAACAGAGTGGAACATTTAGGACTATTTGCGTAGTTTTACAAGAAGTTGTTTGCCATAATGCTGGAAATGATGGGAAAAGCGATAGAGCGAGGAAGATAAGGGATGCCTTGTGCACAGTGGCCGTAGAATCGGAGCTGGACTCCCACTGAAAGTCGTTCTGCCGATCTCTCAGTTGGCATATTAATAAAATGGCATGCTGCGGAAATTTTGGCTAGCTCCGCAATGCCCTGCATTGTTTCGGCATGAATCGAGATTATGGCTGTCAGCAATAAGTCGTCGACTCAGCGGAAAGCGGAGTATTAGACATGCATTTCATGGTGAAATATATCGAGATATAAAGATATTCCCTTAGAGCTATTTTCCATGCTGGGATCAGAGATTGGTGAGAACCACTCCTGAGTATTGTGAGCCTCTTTGCTTCCTTGGGAAAAACAAAAATAATTATTTATAAACAGTAAGATTTCTCTTACTTTTATACAGCAATGCTCTAAAATCAGTAAAATGTAAATACAGCAAGTAAAATATTGTTGCATTTCAGAGCATTGTCCTTTTAAGCAATATTGCCAAGATATGATCACCACCATCTATCTATAACTACAGTATATTTTTACTTTCACCCATCTCAATACACCCTTTAGGTAATTAAATCACAAATACCCCTTTGGTCTAGAAGCCACACTCTCATAAAAAAATAAATTCATGAACAAAAGGTTTCCTGGACAAGGAAGGAGTTGTGACATAAATATCAAAAGAGTGTATTCCAAGGAAGACAAATTTTCGAGGAATATCTTGATTTATTTCACTATAAAACAGCATTCTACAATATTGAATGAACTAGGAAATGTTTCTTTTTCTCACATGCAATATTGATTTCATTTCTCATGACAAAAACAGTTGCCAGAAATGATTTATAGCATACCACCTGCTGACAGCCATAATCATGTCACATGTTGCAACAGTGCTAAGACACTGAATATCATGACAACAACATGGCTGGGATTATGTTTGAATCTATTCATTTCTAAAAACTAGACCCTTATTACACACATTGGACACAGTTTCTTTTTTGAATGATTTTATTCATTGTTAGTGGGATATAGACAAATATGTAGACCACTGTTTGTTTATGATGCTCCTCTTGCTTGATCGCAGTGGGAATCGAACCCACAACTTTTGGTTTTCTTACCGACTTGACCCCATGCATGTATGACCCAGTTGGTAGAGCATTGGACTAGAAAACCAAAGGTCGCGGGTTTGATTCCCACCGCTGTCAAGCAAACTCTTCTGCTTGCCCGGTGTGAACACACTCAAAGTAGCATCAGTACCAGTGTATGCAACACCTTATAATAATACAATGGTCTATCTATCAGGATACTAGACTGTGTATATTTTATTTCTAGTAATATTTTTCACATTGAGAACAATAAAATGCTGATATTGCATTATTTGATGATTGTAGTTTGATATCTGAACAGCCAAATCATTCTTGCATTCCCGGGTATATTCCTGCAGAAACGGGTATATTCCTGCAATAATTATAAACAATAATTATACATATTCTACAATAATTATAAACCCAATGCCCAACCACATCACTCCGTCTCCCTGTCAGGCGCACAAATCACCATAAATTTGTTGCCCTGGTGCAAAAACCCTAAGAATTCAGGGATCCCTCAGAAAACCTCATCCCAATAGCATGCTGTTTAGAATTATTTCCTATATAATTAGACAACCCTTCGGATAAATTTTTATCCAAAATTTTAATAATACACCCTTTCAATAATTACGTCATTTGGCCTGGGAGCCTTGCACTCATAAATCAAGACCCAGGGCTCCAAGAGCAAAAAGTATGTGTGACGTAAATATCGAAAGGGTGTATTTACAGGTTACCCTTCAGAATTTGGTTAAAATTCAGGCAATCCCTCAGAAAAACTCATCCCCAATAGCATGCTGTTCAGAATTATTTCCTATTTTAGACAACCCACTGGATAAATTTTTATCAAAAAATTTGATAATACATCCTTTCAATAATTACATCATTTGACCTGGGAGACTTGCACTCATGAATTGTGAGCTGGGACTCCAAGAGCAAAAAGTATGTGTGACGTAATACTCGAAAGGGTGTATTTACAGGTTACCCTGAAGAATTTGGTTACAATTTGGGCAATTCCTCAGAAAACCTCATCCCCATTAGCATGCTGTTCAGAATTATTTCCTATTTTAAAACAACCCTTCGGATAAATTTTTATCAAAAAATTTGATAATACATCCTTTCAATAATTACGTCATTTGGCCTGGGTGCCTTGCACTCATGAATCATGATCTGGGGCTCCAAGAGCAAAAAGTATGTGTGACGTAATAATCGAAAGGGTGTATTTACAGGTTACCCTGAAGAATTTTGTTAAAATTGAGGCAATCCCTTGGAAAACCACATCTCCAATACCATGCTGCTCAGAATTACTTCCTATTTAGACAACCCTTCGGATGAATTTTATCCAAAATGTTAATAATACACCCTTTCAGTAATTACGTCATTTGGCCTGGGAGCCTTGCACTCATGAATCATGATCTGGGGCTCCAAGAGCAAAAAGTATGTGTTACATAATCATGGAAAGGGTGTATTTACAGGCTACCCCCCTGACAAATTTCGTTCAAATTCAGGCGACCCCTCAGAAAACCTCATCCATAAGGGTGTGTGTATATAAAATGAATGGTCCATTAGCTGAAACAATCAAATATTGAATTGTCAGACAAATTTACTGTCTTTACTTGTCAAGGTAAAATGTTGGGTATTAATATCAAAAATGCTTTTGAAAGATTATTCATGCAGTAAACAATAAACATAAATAAATACATTCAACGAAGGGATCTTTGACTCACTGTCCAAGTGGCTAAGTAAACATTAACCTAGCAGCTGAGCCGATCGATCATGTTGAAAAAATATGTATATAAATACTATGATTTGAC